CTGGAGTCTTCCAAAAGTCTAAAGAGAGTGAGATAAGGGTGAAAGAATTTCAGCACTCTTCAGTTTACACCGTGCAGACACAGATGCAGTTCACATCATCTTCATGGACATATCCGAATTTCTGGCTCAAGAAAGGCTCTGCTACTTAAAAGTCACAGCCACTCATTGATCTTTGAATCAAAAGCAAGGTTGGCGGACTTCTACACATTGGAAATTGGTCTTGCAGACACAGCTGGTGAAAAAAGGCCAATTTTCATAGGTGGCATTCAGCACAAACGAACCCACTCTTCACAAGAGCCTAGCCAGACACATCATTTTGGCTAATAATTGAAATAGATTGGACTCCTTTTCTGACTCTAATCCTAAATTCGTAGAAATTTGGCAACTCCAGTGAGAGTGCTGGAGAAGCAATTTACTAAATGATGCCCCAGTGGCCTGGAAGCAGGACTAATCTCCCAAAGCCCCGAATTTACATCTAGGTTTTTCTTCACTCAGTACCTCTTGTTAAATAGAAATGATGGAAATACCAGTTACTCTTGGAATTCTAATATCATTATTTCCTATGTTACTTGAATTACTGTCCAAAATTTTGACTACCAAATCTTCAAGCTCAGTAATGTAGGTAAGTTTGAAACTGAAAAATTCCAATGCGAGATTCTCTATATCAAGATTATTAGGAAACTACTTATTCATTATTTACCTTTATGTTTATAACTGAAACCTAAAATGTGACCCTCCACGTTATCCAGTCAGTGCTTGGAGTAGAATTCAAGGAAGCAAAATCCAGCTGTTAAATAATTAACAAGGAAATCCAATATTTATTTCAGATTTTAAAAGAACATTAAGTAAGATCCAATTTTTAGCTTACAAAACACTTTGTCAAATATCTTTTTCCAAGACCATTTTCTTGTGTACATCACAGCTGCCTCAGACCCCGTCGCCCTACAAGCTCCAGGGCATTTACACACTTTTTATTCTGCTCTCTCACAATTCCCCTCTGTCCCTGCTCTCCATTATATCAACCTCCACTGCCCAGGTAGTGCCCCCAACTCCCACACCACCTCTCTGCTCTGGTTCCAAGCTACCCCTTGGCTTTATTGTGCATCAAAAAGTATTCAGAAACAAGGTTGCTAGAGGGTGGGTACACTCACAGTTCAAAAAGAAAAACAATATATATCACACCCCTTTCCTCTAGTCTTAAAATGCAAAAATTCGATGCAAAGAGACACAGTCTCCAGGGGCAGAAATTCAAATCAAGCTCTGTCTTCAAACTTGGTCATTATACATCAGCCATTTGGCCCTAAATAAGTCATCATGGTTGTATTACTGTTTCCATTTACATGATCCTTTTTACTTTTCCAAGTACTTTCTCATCTATCATTCAGGAATATTGTGAGGAGGAAAAGCAGACATTGTCATCGTGTGGGAGACCAGGCAACACCTACACAAAGAGGTCTATGACATTTAAGCAGATATAGACGTTACCATAGAATTCATATTCCTGCCTAATGGGGTTGTCCTTCTCAGTTTACCTCTTATGTGGAGATTCCTTTTGTTACTTTTCTTGCAAGGCTAATTATATCCCACTCATCACCAAGAAGCGGTCATATAAGGACAGAGCAAAGAGGTACCAAAGCCAATCCAGATCAAAAATGTAACTGTTCATGCTAGAAAGAAACCAAAACTATTCAGAAATATCATTGCTATAACTTGTGCACCAAGAGTGAAATTTAAGCAAATACATAAACAAAGTCTGAGAATGCTTTATGATACAGCTGGGCCAAACTGTGTACAAGATACCAAAGATGATCATCAGGACCAGAATGAGCCAAGAAGAAAAATAAGAGCTAGGTTATAGGAGAGACAATGTTTGATCAAGCCAACCATGGCTAAAGGTTTACCACCGATCCCTAACAGGGAAAGCATTGACAATTCTATCAGAACTTGAGAGTGTATTAATTTCATAAATAAGTAACTCTACAGGTAATTAGCATTACTCTACTGTTTTTATTCTACAGTGTGAGTTCAGCCATGCAATTTAATACTTCTCTTATCAACTTCAAGCTCTGAACTAAAAAATCCTTTAAGTGGCGTTTACAGATAGATGTCTAAACCAGACAGACTCTTTTTTATTAATCGTTCTTTTCTTTACAGTGGATAAGCCATAAAATTATCACCCCTTAAAGAGTATTGCTTTCATGATTTTCATTCCTACTTGAGTTTGCTGCATGTGGCAGAGTAGTGACTGGAAAATGCATTCATTCAACAAACACTTAGTAAAAATCTACTATGTGCCAGGCCTTATGCTACGTGCTGGGGTTATAGACATGAGCCCTTGCAGAGCTCACTGGTTTTAAAGACAGACATGTATACATTTATAGTACAAAGATAATTTATAGTACAAAGTTCCACATGTATTACTGAACTATAAAGGCAATATCACAAAGTGGATAGACAGAGTGGAGGGTGATGTGGGGGACTGGAATTGGCCACCCCAAGATATGTCTCTTTGGCATGAGGATTATTTGGGGCTGGTTACTTTTAAAAACCACAGACAGGAAAGAAACTCTGAAAAGTAGAATTTACTTACCCTTTGTAAGGGACATTTACATTCTTAAGGGAAATCTCGATCTGTAAAGGTCTCCCCCTCTCTGAACCAGGAAGAAGGGGGCATGACCTTATCTCTAGAAACTCTTATCAATGAGGAAGGCAAGGACTTAAATCTGCATAATAACCTGACTCTTGTTTACTGTGCTTTTCTGGTAATCTTCCATAACTGACTCCCCCCAACATCCTCGTTTGCCTTTAGCTGAGCATGGTATTTAAGGTGCGATCTTCCGCCATTTTGGTGAGTTGCTCAGTTTGTCTGAGCCTCTCCCATGTACACATGTTATAAAGCTTTGTTTAATTTTCTCCTGTTATTCTGTCTCATGTGAATTTAATTCATTTTCCTGCCAGAAGGACCCAGAGCAGATAGAGGAAATGTCTTCCTCCCCTACAATGACAAAGAGAGGTGAGAAGTTACTGTAAAAGTCTAAAAAGAGAAAGAATATAGCCTTGTTTATTTTAAGCATAGCACTTTTCACCAGCTTAAATTATTTTTGTTCATTTTTAAAGGTAATTTGTCATCCATTTCCCACTCCTAAATTTTAAGGTGCACAAGATAGAAATCTTGCCCTTTGCATGGTGTCCTCAGTATATAAAACAGTGCTTGACACAGGGTAGGAGTTTGTTATGTGTTGAATTGTGTCCCCCGCAAAAAAACATATGCTGGGGTTCCAACCCCCAATACGACCTTATTTGGAGAAAGGGTCTTTACAGATGTAACCAAGTTAAAATAAGTTCATTAGTGTGAGTCTTATGACAATTCAATTGTCTAATCCAATATGACTAGTGTCCTTACAAAAAGAGGAAATTTGGACACAGGAACGGACATACACAGAGGGAAGACTATATGAAGAGACACAGACAGAAGACGGTCGTCACAGGTCTCAGAAGGAACCAATTTTGCTGACATCTTGATTTCAGTCTTCTGGCCTCTAGAACTGTGAGACAATAAGTTTCTGTTGTTTAAGCCAACCAGTTTGTAGGATCTTGTTATGCCCTAGTTAACTAGGTGTGCGTGTGAAATGAAGAAGGGAATAAGACAAACTAAGGTAGAGGAAATGGTAGAGACAAAAGATAGCTCTGACTGGACTTTCTAGCAAATTGGGTCCGGGAAGGTAGGGAGAATGAGAAATAAAGTACAATTTAGTACTAATTCCTATAGGAAAGATTAAAGATATAGAAGAGAAACAAGTTTTGACTGTCTATGTGCATGTTCGGATATGTTTGTTGAAGGTAGAGAGGTTCAGTGGAGAAGAATTTAGCTACAGATAAGCATCTGCACAACATACATATGAATATACCCAGCCAGCAATGAGAAGTACGGCTCTGGAAGCAGGAGGATGGGAAATGTACATATGGGAGAATTATAAATGGTGTTTGATGCCGTAAGTGCAAATGAGAGTTACTGAGAAGAACATACAAGTTGTGAATTGAAGTGGTTCAAAGGGGAGTCTTTCTGGGAAAAAAAAAAAAAACTTATTATTTATGTGTAAGGAATAGGAATAAGGATTAATCGAAAAACAGAAGGAAGAAGAGGAAAAATGGGAGAAAATGATCCTGTAAGATTCAAATGAAGAGGGATTTTTTAAGAGGTTAGTGTGGTCAGTTGGATCAAACCCTGAAGCTGGGTTGTGAAGGACTGGAACTGAAAATATTCCTTTAGATTGGACTATATGTGGAGTGTTGGAGTCAGAAGCCGGCATGCAGATGACTGAGGAGTGAAGGGATTTAAGGAAAGAGAAACCACATTCCTAAATAAACTTCTGAGAGTTCTAAATGCATTGATTAATAATGGCCCAGGCCAATCCAACAGACAACTTAAAAACATTCAAGCAACACTTAGTTACAGCACTGCATGGTGTCCAATCTGGGGAATCCCCCAGAATTTACAAACATTTCCAATATGCTTAAAACATATTTGCTCAAGAAAATGTTTCAGCCATTTTAACTCCATATGTGAAAATGGTTATGTTAATGGAATCGAACATTTGATTTTCAGAGGTATACATAATTTGCTAATTTTTAAATAGGGAAATTTTATTTCTTAACATGTACAATAGGATTTATCAGCAAAGTCTTTAAAAATATGAGGACTTTGAGCAGGACATTGGAGAGAGAGAATTTAAAAGAGCTTTGATTGTAAAAGAGTTTGCAGCATTTTTGAGTGACTTCGGAACAAATTATTTATCACTAATAAAGTTTCCAATAATAATATTAGACACTATGCTTCATGAAGGTGGCAACTTCATCGGCTTAGCACATCATAATATTCCCATAACTTGACACAGAACCAGGTTCAAAATGGGTACAAAATAAACACATGGTTAATATTTATAGTGCTTAAGTCAGCTACAATGTTTATTTATATACACCTTCTCGTTGGGCTTAAACATATCTAAATTCTTTTGTTTCGAAAAGAGTGAGAGAAACAACTTGATATGTACTATATTAAAATTAATGTGTGTCCAGGCTTATCTACTAAAACATCAGAAAGTATAAGTGAGTATTTGTAGAAATTTTATTGGCATCACATTCCAGATCAAGTTCACTAAAGCAGAACAATGTGAATCTAATCCAATTTTTAAACTCCAAGTTTCAATAAACAACATTAAATCTTACTGCAACAATATCATTCTCAACACAGTATGATTTCTTACAGCATTGCAGAGAAAGATAACCAAATTTGGGGGCAAAGCAGGTTTGTTTTTATTTTAAGCTTCATACAAAATCATTTTACTCAATACACTTAAGGTGAAGTTGGTCATTTCAACTGTCAGCTTTTTTCTTCAGCTCCAAACTTAGCGGAAAACCTTTAACTTCCAATACCTTTGATCAGTGGAGGTCATTTCCATAAAGATTAATTGCACAAAGAGATAGTCTTCTACATGTGAATGTGAAACAAAATGATAAAGATAGATTTAAATTTGTGAAAATGTTCAAATTTAATTCTGTACACCTCTACAGTGTCTTCAAAATTATAGGCTAGTAAAACAGTCCATTTTCAATTATACTTAAGGGCAGGGATAAAAACTTTGGGTAGAGGGACAAAAACACCATTGTAAACTTTACATTATTTCGGTCCCTCATATATATGCAGAAATGTACCAAGACAGTGAAACCTGTTTATAAAAATAGGGTATGTTACAATTTAATTCTCCAAATGAATCCCGGAAATCTAAACTTTTTTTAATGCTTTATTTTAAACTAATAAGACTACTTCACTGAAAATAAAAACAATGCCAAATTCTTATTCAGTTTGGAAAAAATATGGGGAAATAAATTACAGATTAGGCAAACTTATTTACCCCTTTATTAAACTTTCTTTAAATTGAGAGGCATAAATAATTCTCTTTTATCCACACCTTCACACTGACTCACACTTTGTCTTTTCTGTGGCATAAACTAGTATTACAGCATTTTCATGAATGGATGCATTATTAATAACATGGCCATTTATATTCAGACTCCAGCAAACTTCACCTTGAGGGACCCTTTGTCTCATTGACTTGATTCATTATTAGTCTAACTAACAGGATTCCAGTTTCTCAGTATCGGTGTCGTATTTAGTTCTAATTTGTAACATCATAACCTTTGCTTAACCTCTCATTCAGGGAAGTCTTACAGTTCCTCTTCTAGACTGAAAAATTGCATAAATATTTAAATGTTAATTCAGAGAGAGTAAGAATGATGTCAAAATGTCCCTTAGAGCCAAAATTTCAGTGGATTCGGAGTAGTAATATTATGATCTGACCTAAAATTCCAAAAAGTATCAATTTTTCCCCCTCTGGCTTAAATATTGTTTGTACAAGAAAGATTTTTAAAATACCTTGAAGGCCTGAGGTCGTTCTCCCTATGGTCCTCTTATTTTAAAGACAAATGGGAATTTGTCAAACAGCTCAGAAAATTGTACAAATAATTATGGAGATACCAGTCAAGAAGGCTGCATTTCCTTACTTCTCAAAGTGCGGCTTTGATAAGTCAAAAACTTTTCCACCTGGTTATCTTGTACACTACGCCCACAAAACCCCCAAACTAATCATAGCTTATGAAACTATGTTGTCAAAATAAAAAAAAATTTACAAAGATATATAAACTTCAGATTAGATTAATTTCAGGAGTCATTCAAAGTAGCGATTTAAATACTGAATTTGAGATAAATACTTCCATTATTAGGTAGATATCTTATTTTAGAAAAGTAGTATGAGAATTCTTGACAAGGCAAGAGATCAAATTTAAAAGTTCTATTTATGAATGTTTTAGATTTGGCAAGATTGTGTACTCAAAAATAAATTGACATTCCACCTGAACATTTATTCCAATAAAAATAATATTGAACTCACCAATTTTCATCTTTTATTCTAACATTTCCTAGAGTATGATTCAAAATATATAGAGGTGATAATTGCTCCTTCTTCACTTTTGAAGGGTTGTTTCTCTTCATCTTTCCTTCAGTGTCCTGGATTCTTGCTGAACTAATCGTGATTTGCAGGCTTGAGAACTTGTGGTTTCTGCACTGTGTTTACTCTGTAATCCATATTGCTTGGCACTCAAAGAAGGCTGTGTTGATGTGTCACTCAGAGAGTTGAATGACAATAGCATCAATTTCCGAACAAAGTAAAACATTACAACAATGAACAACCCAGGATACCACATGAATTCAATCTAAACTGGAGAGCGTAAACCCTAGACAAAGGAGAAAGCACATCTTCACAAATATTTGTGGTGGCTGCTGTCTCTTATGGAAAAGCTTCCACATGTGCACCCTAAGAGGAGAGAAAAAGTTCAGAGACCACATGCTCAGGAAAAGTTCTTAATTCTGCAATAAGAACTGATAAGAGAGATTCAGATGACATCCGAAAATGATAACATACTATCACATGGTACAGGATTGTTGCAAAAGGATCATGAAAATACCCTGAGGATTTCATCAGGGTACAAATGAAACCTCCAGGTTTAAAGAGACTTTAGCCCAGAGTAGCTGATTGACACTCTCTCAATCGGATGGCTTAGGGAAAACTGGAATTAAACAATACAGTTAACAAAACACGATTACCTAGAGTAAACGTTGGCGGTTATAGAGCAGGAACATACGTGAAAAAGACAAAAGCTATGTCATTAATGCTGTATTGCCTATTGGTACTGAATCTATTTTATAAATAGAGGAATGGAGACTCAGATATGTTCAAGAACACAAAACCATTAATTGCTAAATCAGCCCCAGTCCTTTTGACAGGAAGGTCACATTTAACCCCACCTGAACACTTACACTTGTTGAATTCCATGTATTCAAAAATTTTCAAAAAATATTTAGGAGGCCACCACGGTATTACTAATGTTTTATTTTGCCAGCACATTAAAACAAAAACAAAAAGCCCACCTAACAATAATCATCAGTTCACAAAAGGCATCAATTCACATTTTGCTCTTTAAATAGGAAAAACTTGAGAAAAGTTCACGATTTTCTTTTATTTTTTTTTCATTTCAACACAAATTAATGGGAAATCTACATCACAATAAAATAGACCCCCGTTTAGGAAGCCGTCTCTCTGCCACAGCTGCCTCCCAGGATCAGCCCAGGATCTGTCCAGGAATTTTATTATAGTTGAATCACCTGCAGGTAAATTTTTGAACCTCTACCAGAAGGTACAGCATATATCTTTGATCCTAATGCACATTTAACATTTTTATTTTTAAAAATTGGAATGTGACTAACAATTTCAATATACATATTTAATATTATTATTTCTTTTTCTCCACAAAAGTATTTAATTCAGCAATGCATTTTGTAATCATTGATATCATAGTCTTGCACAAATACTCTATGTTTTGAATGAACAGATTTACATTCGGACAAAAAATATAAAATATATGTAACAATTCCCAAGCCCTTAATATCCAGTGTCAGGAAAAGAGCAGGCACTCAACGGCTGTCTCTTACTTGGAAGTGAAATGAAGAGACAGATTTCTATGCTCTCAAGATACCTTTGCAGGATTCTAATTTAGTACCCAACATCCTCTAAGAAATTGAAGGGTGAGAAAAACCAGTTTGGAGTCAAGGTTTAATTTGTTTATTTTTTTGCCTATAAATAACTCTCTTATCTAGGATATCAGGAAGTGATGTGTTCTAGTTAATCAAATATTCTGGTTAATAGATTACATTACCTTACTTAATTCCAGGCATATATCACTGATTAGGAAAAATTAAAACCACAATAAAATACACTTAGCACAGAAATTATGCTGAAGTAAAGTGTTATCTTTTCTTTGATGACTCAAAATGGACTTCAAAGCCTCATGTTCACCGTCACGAAGAATCAAATGCTGTAGTGGACAGATGGGCCGGGTAATAGAACTCTTTGCTCAGTACAACGTCAAATAAGCTATATTTTTTCTGATTTCATGTTCTTCAATAAATGAATTAAAAATAACATTGTATTCATAAAAATAACATGACCTTAAAAATGGATTTTCTTAGAATGCTGCTTTCTTCCTATATGCTTTGCAGAGACATAATGATATACATCTATCCAATTTTTTCCACTAGACGTTGCACCATAGGTATTTTCCATGTTTATTGGCAGAGTCTTGATAATAGTGAACTTTAAATGATTGAATAATACTCCCTCAGGTTGATTTACCATAATTTAGTCATCCTTTTTTCAACTCTTAACCATTTTAATTGTGCTGAGGTAAACATCTCACTTTGCTTTACATTTCTTCAAAGCACTTATCACAATCTGACATCATTTTTTTTGCTTAGTGAACTCTTTTTTGTTTTTCCTATTAGAATAGAGTTCCCATGAGGGCAGGAATCGTGTATCTTGTTCATCACTGAATCCCTAGAATGCAGCACAACACCGAGACGCATCATATGAGCCCATAAGCATTCGTTGGATGCATGGATGAGGGAATGAATCATTGCGCTTATTTTTATTTGCTTGGAAATAGTTCCCAAAAACATGACCTTGCGCCTTCCTGTTTTTTGCCTCTAGTTGTATGAGTACAGTCAGGTAAAAAGTCTACATAGGAAAGTAGAGAGCCTGAACGTCCTTATAAGGACACTTGGAAACTCAAAGTTGATAATGAAAGTGAGATGAGAAAGAGAGAATGGGAAGGAGAATGATCAAACAAGATGGAAACATGGAGAGAAAACTGAAGAGCCTGGGGAAGCAAGAGTGAGCAAAATGCAGAGGAAGCAAGAGGATTAGAGAATGGGAATTATTGGTGAAAACAGAGTACGTAAAGGGTAATTTCTGCATTGAAATGAAAAGTCTAGGGGAGAAAAATGGGAAGCCAAAATCAGGAATAGAAAATTTTCAGTAAATTAGCTTCAATGAACCCCCAAACCAAGCTAATTATCAGAATCTCCTAGAAACCTTTTTTTTTCTTTTTAATAAAAATTTCTCAGCATCAGCCTTAGAAATTTTAATTCACGTGTCTGGATTTTGACCAGGTAATTTGTATTTTGAAAATTTCCCCTGGATATAAATTAAATTCTACATCATTAATTATAGAGCACAAAGGATATGTAATAAAAAGAAAAATGAATGCTAATTTTGTTTTGTTTGGTTTGGTTTGGTTTGGTGAGGAAGATCAGCCCTGAGCTAACTAACATCTGTTGCCAATCCTCCTCTTTTTGTTTGAGGAAGATTGTCCCTGAGCTAACATCTGTGCCAATCTTCTTCTATTTTGTATGTGGGATGCTGCCACAGCATGGCTTGATGAGCAGTGTGTCGGTCCACTCCCAGGATCTGAATCCACAAAACCCAGGCCACCAAAGTGGAGTGTACAAATGTAACCACTACACAACCAGGTCAGCCCAAATGCTAATATTTTTATGGTTTGGTCATATTATACCTAGATTGTATAAATTTTTACAAATGTTGGGGAATGCTCAGAAAATATTATATCTACTTCTATATCCATAAGTACTTCTACGTCTAAAATTTCCTCAAAATTTTATTCAAACTCTGTCATATATCAACCGTTAGTGACCAAATAAAGGAACACTGCCACAGGGCAATTTCAGTTAGTCTCTCCTTCAGCATGTGTTTTTCTGAGCTCTAAGTTGAACACAATCAAGTGTATTTTATTCAATTGACAGAAGAGTTATGATGTTATCATAGTCCATCATCAAATTTTTGTACACTTCTTACTTTGTACGTGCAACTTCTGCTAAAGTCAATGGGAGTCCCACCAATGATGCCTTAGAAAAATTTGAAAACAGCAGTGCAAAGTTCTTGCTAGTCAAACTGCCCAGTATTTGATTATTTTTATTTTACTGTGTCTTCAAATTCAAATCATCCAAATTACTTGCCATGAAGTATGATTTCTTGTCCAGTTCAAATTTGTTGTTAGTCATAGAATGCTTTTTATTTACCTTCTCTAAAATATTTAACTGATGGAATTGAAGGCCTAGCACTGAAATCTCTTAGAAAAGGCTGCTCTCGCAAGATTTGCAGTCATCTTTTATAGATCTACACATTTGGGTCTTCCCTGAATGTACAAACTCCTAATTTCTTAGAATCTATAATTTTTTAAAATGGGAATTAAGCTTACACAGAAATTGTTTTAGAATGGTGCTAGAGTGTATGCTTGGAATTAACACTTAGGGTGTAGCCACATTTCAGGAAGTATATAAACTCCATGCTTTCAACTATCCTTGTAGTCATTGTCAGTCTCAGAAAGATTTTTAGATGTCTCTTTCCTAAAGACTTTAGGTTACTTTTACAGGATGAGTAAAAAGTATATTTGGTACTACAGAGAAGATTATTAGCATAGTGACTATAAACCAGGGACTTAACATCTCAGAGTCTCAGTTGCCTCATATGTAAAATGGGTATAATTTCATCTGTCCTACCTAGGCCATGTCTATATGATGAAGATCAAATAAACCAAAATGGATGGAAGCATAATAAAAATGTAAAGAGTTCTACAAATTTAAGCAATTGTTATCGTTACGTTCTGTGAAGGCAATATAAATGTCTGGAGTTTTATTGGATTTTTCAATATATTTTCACAGAAGGTTTGATGGTGGAGAATTTCTATAAGAGATTCTGAAGTAGATTAAGACTGGTAATGAAAGTATTTCCATTAAACATGTGTAGCTCATTAAGTTATTCCACATGGCACCCAAATCATTAGTATCTTAAATGTAGCAAGGAAGATTGCGAACCAATGATGACAGACATAAATCTCCTCCAAAGACAGGGTTACTTTCCATGGAGATAGTGTTCAGCTAACTCTTGCTGTAACTACAGAACACTTCTATTTATTTCTTTTTTTATCAATATTGCCCATTCAGTTTCAAAATTTTAAAGAGTTTCCTTCCAACCATAGTTTGATTTATTTTTTTTTAACAGAAACACAGTGCAAATTGACTGTTAAACATCCACATCTAGTTCATTTAGCACAGAGCACTGAATCAGTGTCTTGGCAATAATGCATTTGCTTTCCAGATTAAATCAAACTAATTATATTCTGGTTACTTGACTGTGAAGTCATGTGACACTACTTTTAGTTTGTTTATGCTATATTGCCCATTGGTGAAGAGAAGATCTGTTCATATGCTCTCCAGTGGACAAGGCCACTACCATTACACACAGATTAATATGCTCATGATTCAAAGAGCTTTCTCCTGATGGTTTTATTCCCTCCTGTGAACAATGTTTTATTTGAGATGCTCATATCAGGGGTGCCTCTCAACTGCATAATTCAAATCTTACCATGTGCAAAATTGTAGCAGTTTGTCGGCTATAAACTGAAGTTAAATTTTGTCGATACTGTTTTCGATTCATCTAAAATAGAAGAGAAAGAGGGAAAAAGTGAATTTATCATAGCTAATATATGACATGAACATCTGGTCATAATAAGCTAGTCAAAAGTAGTTTACATCTATCAGGCACAAGAAGAATATAAATGGCCAAAGACAAGGTAACTAGGCTGATAAAGAGACTGCTGTAAGAATACCACTGAGATTCTTCACTTTTTTTTATTATCTGCCAGCCATAGCTTTCTCCTCTCTTAAATCCTGAAGACTCACAATGTCTGTCACAATGGCATCCCATATGCCTCCCCACTTAGGCTGGTTACCAAGCCTAGCCAAGAATTGTTGCATAGATTTTTTTTCAATATTCTTCTCTCATTTACTTTCCGTCTCAATTTGACTTTTTTCCCCTTTCTAATCTAATCTTATAATCTTCTTGAACTTTACCACAGGACATTTCCCACCAACCCATCATTTTTAACAAAGAGGTAAGGCTGCCCTATCAGAAAGCAATAGGTTCTCACAATTTGAGTGGACAGCTTTAGCTGAACAAATCTGCTTGTGCACTTCCTCTCTTCAGAGCACTATCCCACCCTCCCATGACTTATAAAGGCTACTGGAAAGCAAAATAGAAGACTTTCAAATTAGGTCCATGAGGTTTCAAGCCTTGGCAATGCTACTTACTAAGTGTTGTGACCTTGGATAAGCTTCTTAGCTATTCTAAATCTCAATTTTGTCATCTGTAAAATAGAGATAAATAACATCCACCTCATGAGAGAAAAGTGATCATATATGTAAAAGAAATTAATATAGTATGTGACACATAATATGTATTCTTTAGGTTATTGTCCTTGAATTTGAAGCTAACATTCCTCTTTCACTTAATCAGATTGTTCCAGTTCTTTCCAATTAAGAATTCTAAAACATTCCTTGTAAGTGATTTCATACTTTTCATTTCAAAAATTACTTCATATATATTGGTCAGCTCTGCTGCATAACAAATCACCCTACAACTTAGTTATTTAAAATAATGATGCTAGTTATTTCTCTGTATATCCCATGACTTTGTGGATTGGTCAGACTGATCTTCTGGTCTACCTCAACAGTGTAAGATGGTCTCACTGACACATTTGGGGCCTCAGCTGGAATGGTTGTGATAGTTTGGTTAGAACAACCAGGAGCCTTTCTCTCCCCATGGCCTCATCTTCCAGTAGGCCAGCCCAAGTTTCTCCACATGGTAGTAGAAAGATTCCTATCGGCAATGGGAGAAAAACCCCAATGCTTAAGTCATATTAGTTGTCACATCTTTAGGTACACAGAAAACAGAAGCTTGACAACCCTGGGTGAAAATTCAGTTTCTACTATTTATTCATTGAATGATCCTGAGCAAGCTATTCATCCTCTCTATAAATTAGTTTTCCTTTCCTACAGTATACATCAATAGTATAGGATTAGTGACGGAGTTAAATAAGACAACGTGTATAATTTGATTGATTCAGTACCTGGCAATTGGTAGAATAAATGTTAATTTTCTTCTACCATCACCTGCCCTTTGAGCTTTTTTTTGCTATTACCAGTAACACACTCACTACCCCTACATTATTCCACAAAAAAAGCCAAAGACATCACTAAGTTCCTCACCTGAGAATTAAATATTGCTACAGTTATTATAGCATTAGATTAAAATGTGCATCTAGAACCATGAAGTCCACATTTTTAAACTTAGAACAAGAAATAATATATATCAGAACTATCTCTACTTAGTTTAATATTAAATTTTTCTCTAATTATTAGCCACTGTAAAGCTAGGGCTTCACAGGAGAAAATTAAAGAACTTAGGGGCAGAATGAAATAAGTCTAGTTTCTTTAGTACCTTAAAACAAATAGATTTTTAGAACAAACAAACAGAAAGAGTAGGACCAAAAAATTGAGAAATGTTTTCTTTATTAGAACTCTTTAAAAACACATAAAAGTCCCTATTTTAGAATACGCAAAATGTATTTTAAAAATATAGAAAATTGTTGGGGCCGGCCCAGTGGCACAGAAGTTAAGTTTGCACATTCCACTTCAGCCGCCTGGAGATCGCTGGTTCGGATCCCGGATGCTGACCTGGCACCGCTTGTCAAGCCATCTGTGGCAGGCATCCCACATATAAAGTGGAGGAAGATGGGCACGAATGTTAGCTCAGGGCTAATCTGCCTCAAAAATATATATATATATATATATATAGAAAATTGTTTACAAATAACATAAGATTATCAGGGTATTTTCTGTTGACAGAGTACTTCAGAACTATACAAATTAATAGAAAAGAAAAGAAATGTACAAATGAGTAAGGCTAATATTAAGAGATATCAGAAATGAGAAAGGGAGTCCAATTCTGTAGTTTCTTTAAAGTGCATACACTTGTTTTGGCCATTATGTATCGGTAATGATGCAAACATCCATGGGTTAAACTACTTTATGTCTAAAAACAGGATTAATCTCTTCAAGAAAACACATGTTTTAGCCTCTCCTGGGAAGAAAAACCTGTCTTTTCACTTCTTAAACCAGAGATGTCTTTCTCCTCTTCCCATCTCCCTTTCCCTGCCCTGTTTATCCTCAGTGGAGGAAAACCTAATCTGGTTGGTCACAAGTAGGACACTGTTTCATTGAATTTACTAGAGGGCAGAAACCCACAGGCCTCCTGAGAGTGAGCTAGTAAACAAAGCCAAGACCCCTCATGCCATGCCATCTTGTCCTCTCTTCCTTCTCACATAAAGACTTGGTCCCTTGGGAGTTCTCATTGATTTGGACTCAGCAGCCAAGTGAGAAGTTGCTCAAGGCTTAGGTGATAAGGAGAAGACTGTTTGAGCCGTGAACCTCAGAGGTGGATCCTCTGACACAGCCGACCAGAGAGCTCAGCTTTGGAGCATCAGCCTGCTGGCCAGCTACACTGTATGTGTATAAAGCCCATCCTATCTTGTTTATCGTTGTTCCTTATGTGCATAGCTTCTTCAAGAACTTCATAAAAAGAAAATGATTGACAAGGCCTTACTTGGGCATACTCTATTCCCTGACTATAACACTGAGTGCTAGCACAGTCCCTCTGGTATTTATCAACATGTATTGTAAACAAGATCTTAACACTTCTTTAATTAAAAACAGGGACGTTAAAATATTATCAGAATATCTAAACGATAAACAATTTTTTAATTCTTCTGGAACTCCACCCTTATCAAATGAAAAGTAACATCAAGTAGATGAGAATCAAAAGAATATACAGAGATAATAATACCTGTCCTACTGAAATATGAATGCCAAGATAAAAAGTAGCCATGCCAAAGTTCTATATTGCTATCGTGGAAATCGAGAAGGAAGTTAAAATTCCAGATTTTTATAAACTTTCATCAGCATAACTTGTTTAGCCAGACGACAAGATTTATGGTGGAAAATGCAGAGCAAAGACTAACATATGTGGAGCACTGACTGTGAGCAAGTCACTGCTCTAAGACTTATTTGCATTGTGCCCTTTACTCCCCACAAGTCCATGAGGCTTACAAGAGGTTTTGTGAGTAACTCAAGGTTGCAAATGTAGAAGGTGGTGAAATCAGGATTCAAACCAGGCAGTGGTCTAATTCTAGAGTCTATACTCTTAACTATTGCCTAGTACTGACTCTAATGAACATACCTTCCAATGGATAATACTTATTCAGCTGAATGTGTGAGGACCTGCTATGTGCAAAGGAATCCAAAGGGTATTACATAAAATACAATGGTGCTTAAGTTATGGTGCCTGCCCTAAGGAACTGACAAACCTGTAATGCACTAAAGCATTACAAATATCTGACATCAAAAATGTATATAAATTTATACAAAATATATGTAATGATAAAGTGAGTAGTATAAAATATAGAAGAGGGGGAAAGATTATTGCCTGCCAGGAAGACCTTGGTTGAATTCTCTTAAGGGACTTCCTTCACTGTAATAAAGAAACTCTTAGGTCATAAGTTAGATTTTAGTATTACACAAAAATAAATGACATAACTTTCTCTGTTCCACAGCAGTAGAAGAATTGTCAGGAACATGCTTTATCCTGATTGAATTTAAAAAAACAGCTAGTCACTTCAAATTTAGATGTTTCTACATATGATGACCACATGTGTTTTGAAGTATTTATTAATCAAACGTAAATAAGTGAATAAGATCAAGCTCTCCACTAGCTACTTGGCTTTGATGAATTGTCATCGCTTACTTCTGTTCTCTATAAATAGATTAGGCACAATGACTTCAATTCAGGGCATAATTATTCCACATCCACTGTGTACAAGGCATGGTAGTTTGTCTGCTTGCATGGCAGTAGGGCGCATAAAGGTGAAACGGATCCATGGCTGCCCCAGGGAGATTATACACTGGTTTAGAAGGCTGGTGAGCAAATAGAGTCATTTTAAAAATAACCAAAGAAGAGAAGGAAAAAAACTTCAGGTGGTTGGCACTCCATCTGCTTGTGTTCCTTTAATCCAGGCTGCAAACTTTAATAATTGGGCACTCATGAGGTCATATTCTCAGAGCTCTTTGTCTTCCACAAAGAAAAGCATAATATGAACTTTAATAAGCATGGCTCTGGTTATTTGTGTGAACAATAAGGATGTTATTTCATATATAACTGCGCTAATTTCCATAATTTTCTTGGGCCAAATGAAGTCTGTTATTATTTTTAATGCAGTAGCTTTCCAAGAGTTTGTTTTAGTCTTTGCTCTGTCCTGGGGGTCACAGTCAGCACTATGATCACCTCATTAGTTCTTTCTGCTTCTCAGTCATTTCTTACCATTTGTCTTTGGAATGTCTTAGCCTTTAAATTTTCCACAATGTAATGGCTTTCTTTTCCAAATTTGGTCTATTGGAATGTTCCAGAGACCTGCATTAAAATAATAATAAAAACAATAAGCTCTATTATAATAACATTACTTAAATTGTATGGTCTTTCAAAGTTTCTAATTTCCCAAATTTCTCAAAAGTTGCTCTAAAAAATCAGCTGAACCAGTATAACAACGGAAACTAATCTGACCTGGGAGTACTCAGGAAGGCATTTCCATAAGCCTGGCAACCAACCATTAAAGAGAGTGAGTTCAGCATTGCAAAAGGCAGGACAAGTGGTCACCCATGACTATGTGACTAGCATTTGTCATTGTAAAATGCTGTGTCCTCATGTTATTCCAAAGAGTGTTAAAAGAAAAACAAATTTACCAGTAGTACTTAAGACAAGCTATTCCCTCCTTGGTATGGTGATACCTAGCTCATAGCAATCAATCAATCAATGAATAAATAAGGCATATGAAGAAATAATCAGTGGTATTCTATGTAGGGAATGTCGCCATACACAAGGGGAACTATAAGCAAATTTTACAATTTAATAGACAAGCTACTCAAACTTTCCAGTGAAACATGTGTTGAGTCCTGGCACTTGCTATTACCTGGGTGACAGAAGGAACCGCCTTCCCCGAGTTTCCTCTTTTCATTTCAGAGATCCTAAAGGAGATTGCTCTAGACTGGCAAATAGTCTGTAAACAACAGTTTTATCACTGTGAACAACCTATCATTATAATAACGGAAGAAAAATAATCCAAAGTGATCCGATAAGACAAAATTATATATACAGACAAAGTAGGCATGTCTAGGTTTTTTTTCAGTATAGATCATATGATTTACATGAAATTTTTATATCTCTGCAATTTATTTTCTTATCCTTAGCTAAAAAGAAAAAATGGTGAGGCTCGTGTAGAGCTAACTGACTGCTTTGGAACAGACTGTTAGCTGAATTTCTACAAGTAGGATTTTTTCCACAAGAGAGAGGAAAATTATTTACTTTTGAACCAAATTCTATGTAGTCTAGCCAGCTGGGCTCTTGGGGAAGTTCTGGGCTAGGTTTAAAGAAGCTCCCTCTAGCTAAGAGCAAGGATCTTTTTTCTCTTGTCTGCAGAAACCAGTCTGCAATTAACCTCAGGCATTTTATAAGGGTAATTATTGAAGCACCCAAACTTTTGTATGTTCAGAGACAGGAGGAGGATCAGTCACATTTCACTACCTTTTTTCTGACTGACATTGCTAATATTTCTGAAGAGTATACTTTGGAGATTTTGAAAATAAAAGAAGAAGAAAATAGAAACATCTGGCATAGGACTGAAGTTCGTCTTCGGTTCAACCCCAGTTCCAGGGGCAGTTAAGTCTTCGACTCAATTGTGGGGGACTGGAATTGGCCACCCCAAGATATGTCTCTTCGGCATGAGGATTATTTGGGGCTGGTTACTTTTGAGAACTGCAGACAGGAAAGAAACTCTGAAAAGCAGAGTTTACTTACCCTTTGTTAAGAAACGTTTACATTGTAAAGGAAATCTCCATCTGCAAAGGTGTCTCCCTCTCTGTAGAGGAAGAAGGGGGATGACCTTATCTCTAGAAACTCTTATCAATGAGGAAGGCAAGGACTTAAATCTACATAATAACCTGACCCTTGTTTACTGTACTTGTCTGGTAATCTCCCGTAACTGACTCCTCCCACGCCCAACATCCTCCTTTGTCTTTAGCTGAAGATGATATTTAAGGTGGTGGCTTCAGCCATTTTGGTGAGTTGCTCAGTTTGCCTGAGCCTCTCCCATGTACACATGTTATAAAGCTTTGTTTAATTTTCTCCTTTTATTCTGTCTCACATGAATTTAATTCATTCTCCAGCCAGAAGAACCCAGAGAGGGTAGAGGAAACGTCTTCCTCCCCTATACAATCATAAAGCAGAAATGGAAAAGATTATGGAAATACTTTTTTGAAACAAAAGACAATAAGAAAAAGAGTAGAAACAATTTTCTGAACATTTCAGGAAAATCTGGCCCAGAGAAAGCTAGTCAATATGACTTTTGATAATCAGATTACCATACACCTTGATGAAAATCAGCAAGAACACACACCTGCATTTTCCTTAGCCAATGACGAAATCGCTGTCTTATAGCCTGACGCACTCTCTACAGGGCTATGTTTTTAACACTCAAAATAACACATTCCTTTACCTAATGACTTTGTGGGATTGAATGAAAAGCTAGCAACAATAACAAAAAAATAATGAATAATTTTCTTTTAATGGAGCTTCTTGGTGTATAGTAGCTAGCAACATAAGATAGTCTCATAATGATCTATAACTAGTTTTTCTGTTGGACATATGCTAGAAATAATTTCACTATTTTTCACTTTATTTTTCTATGTGAAATTAGTGAATCAAATCATATATTGCACATGTGTACAGTACCAAAAATGGTACATGAGTAGCAGGAAAGACACTTCTTTAATGGGAGAAAGAAAAGTTGAAACAAAATTTCTAAAGATTCTTTCTTTTCTTCCTCTAGAGTTCCAACATTGTCTCACTCTCCTTACCTAACCAGCCACCAAATACAGGTTTTAACCACAGGGAAACAAGTTATTATAGATTCTACAAGAAGTGCAATTAATCAATACTTGCCAAGATTCCAAAATGCAGAAGAGAACACAAAACAACAAAATCCTACAGAAATCCAACAAATCAGAATCACTGCAGCTATCAAAAGAACAGAGATAAGCCTATGCATCCAGGAAAAAGTATATAAAATATTAAAATAAATAAATAAAATATATATTTTATTGTAGATATATATATTTGCAAGTAACGAAAATGTAACTTTTTAAAAAACAATGCTATAATAAAGAAAAACTAAGCCATGGAAAATCACTACTTGCTCATGAATATGCCTGAATCAGTACAAGCTACACAAGAGTAAAGACTAAATATGATCTGCACATCATTTGGATATTCTCCTGCCTGACATTTTTCCTCAATCGTTCCTTGCAGAGAAAGACAGCTTCCTATCCACCACCTGGGAAGAAAAATGACACCCATTTACACTAAACATTCCACCAAATGTGGTTTATGCTGAATAACGTCAAGGAGAAGAATTAGCAAGAGAAAATTTTAAGATACCCACAGGGAACATTTTACTTACAAAAGGAGTACCTGAGATCTAGGCCACTAATAAGGAAAGTAATTAAAGTAGCACTTAAGTTGCTGAGGATCACAACAAAGTAAAAGTGTAGACAGGTTTAAAGTTTGGAAAGCTTTTGACACCAATTAAGCGTTGACAATATTCATTGTTGTTGTTTCCTTAATTTCCTTCTTTTCTTCTTAATTGAAATAAGCTTTTCCATTTGGCCTTTGTCCTAAGATAAGTTTGCTCTTATCTCAGTACAGTGAAGTCAATCAATCTTCTTAGTCCTAAGACAATTTACCAGTGAACTGTGGACTGAAAATGTGCCTAAATGGTCTGCTTGCCACAATAAATCTCCCAGTCAAAAATCCTCCTTATGATTTGTTTATGTCAACATACAGTTTCTAACATATTAAAATAAAACTGTAAGTTTATAAACAAGGGAACTACCTTGAAATTCTATAAGCAATGGACTTAATGAGATTAGAATAATTACTGTTTTGCTACAATACAAAGAGAATCCATGAGGCAGAAAAAACTGCTCTCACATATATAGGAGATCCTAAGTGCACTTGCTGATTAAAGGACAACTTTGAGTCAGACCCGCACTCAGCGGATGCCAGGATGAGAGAGACATTTGTTTAGGTTTGCTTCTGGAAGAAGAAGATAAAATAACTCCATTGCTTTTTAAAATAACAGGCTTTCACGTTTCCAGACAAATTACCTTCATTCTCTCATTAGCCATAGATAAAGAGGATAAATAGGATCTTCTCACATGCGCTGGACCCCTTAGAATTACCCAAATAGCCCCTAGAACAGCGCTCTCTAACAACCACCGTGTGCGCGGAAGAAATCCAACTTTGGAACCCCTTCCAGATCTACTAAATCAGAAATCCTGGGGGTGGGGCCCAGAAATCTGCATTTCCACAAGCTCCCGAGAGGATTCTGATGCTGTTGAAGTTCAGGACCCATGAACAAAGAGTAGTTTCCCCACTCAAAACCAAACCCAGATTGTAACAATTTGACCAGCGGAGTCAGGTGACGTTTAGCTATTCCTTCAATAAATGTCAGCTGAGAAATACCTTGGCTATTGATGATTATAAGATATTTTGGTACAAATCAAGATTCATACTCTACCATTTCATTTGTTTTTGGTGCAAAGTAGCTATTTAGGGTCTTCTGTCACCGATGATCTAGGAATAATTTAAAAAACAACTTAAAGGAAAAGAAGAGTTTCCATTCATAAATAGTGTCTGGCCCATCTAATCTGTTTATATTTTTATTTTAGATAAAGGGTCCCAGAAATATCGTGTTATTACATGTAAATTAATTTTCATGCACTGAGCATTCTAAATAATCAAGTTTTATAGATTTTTACCCCAAATCAAAGGCCAGATCCAAGAGAAACAACTTTTCTGGCTTTAAAATTATTCCTTAGCTGGAATAGAATGATTATCGTTTAGTTAAGTTTTATTTTACAAATATCACCCTAATAAAACAAGAAGGCGCATCATGAGCAACATTATGAAGAAATTTCATGATTCTCAGATGGCTTTTTCTTCAGAATATTTGCATAATCTTAAAATTCAAGAACTGCTTGAGGAAAGCACTGAGTAAGAGAAGTTGTAGAAGAGTCCACGCATTTACAGGAGCGAGTTAGAGTCACGCCCGTCTTAACTGATGGGCAGATTTTGGATTGTAGATACAATGCATCATAACTGAATGTGCATCAGGACTGAGCGGGGAGGATTCTCCCAGGGCAGTGCTTCTCAAAGCATCATCCTTAGGTCAACAGCATTTCCAGGGAAGTTGTTAAAAACGCAAATTCTACACCCCAGACCTAGTGTATCAGACACTCAGGGGGTAGTGCTCAGCACTCAGGGGGTGGGTTTCAACCATTATTTCAGTGAATCACTATTCCAGTGAAGCGACTACACGTGCTTCTGTCTTCAACAACATAATGTAATTTTCTTATCAATTATGATAGCCTTTTGTTAAAATAAAATGCTTGATTTATGCATTCATTAAGCTAGCATTTATTCACTGCCCACTTGGTCCCGAGGACCGTGCTAAGCACCAAGGTACAGTGGTGAAGAAAACAGCCATTGACCCTACCCTCACTGAGCTTACAAACATACTGTCTGGTGGAGGAGGAAAAACACAAACATAAAGAAAGATTATGGAGCATGGAAATAGGGTGCAGTATAAAGGAAAACAGGGTGTGGGGGGAGGAAACTTCCTGTGGATGAGGTAATCTGCCTACCTGAGGAGATGACAGCAGGAGGAAAGAACAGTAGGAGTGAGGGCCAGGCCTTAGGAAAGAGCCTGGGGTGATAGGACCTGGATCCATCATGATGAACGTTAAGCAATTCTTTGTTTAAAAGTTTCTCTAGTTGCTCCAAAGTCAGAGAGAATCTGGAAAAGAGATATATGTCATTTTATTAATTTTACTAATAAAAGTATACCTCACTACCAGGAATTTTGGATTAAGTGTCCTGTGTGAGTGCTCCCTAAGCCTTCCAAGTTATCTCAAATAGATATTTCTTCATTCTCCAACTTCCCCCCTTTCTTCTTACGTCCTGCAGTCTATTTCCTATACTTCCTTTCTCTCTAGTAACCTCATTAGTACATATACATGATGCTTAAAGCCACAGAAATGCAGCAGACCACCTAGTGAAAGTCTAGGACTCCATCAGAGTTATACCCAGTGAGAAAGCCTAATTGTCTTTGTAAGGACATAGGAAGCTAATTTGCAATGTAATGTTAAGACGTAAGCTTCCTTTACTCGTCTTCAAACTTTTAGTAAAATTAAGTCACACTAAAGCCTTCTGTGGGTACCAGAATGGTTTCTCGTGTTTAGTAAAATTGGGATGGGTGATACTGACTTACGTAGGGAGAAGAGCTTGGTTCATGGCTCCGCTAACAAGAGATTGCATCTTGTTAGAAGAATGAGGCTAATAGAATGTCACGACAATATTCTAGATAAGAGACAATGGTGACTACTTACAAAGTCCCTTGGACACTCTCTCTGACCATCAACAATACAGAGTCTCTCTAGAAGACCTCACCTATTCTAAGTACCAGGCAGATGCACTATATGTATCACTGCACAAAAATGGGGCTGTCCCGCCCAATGCACATAAACTAGCCAATTAATTCTGGCATCAGCTTTTGGGAAAAGAAGTCAGCTTTACTCTGTGAGATCAATCTCTGGGGATAGAGGGCCCATCAGCCCTCAGATCTGTCTCACCAATCCAGGGCTTGGGGCACAATTTATGGGATGAAGGGGAGGGTGGTCTGAAGTGTGGCAATAGCTGATTGGAGGTAAGGAGAAGGGAAGTAATTGATGATCTGTGCAAGTGTAGTCAAGCTTCATGCCTTTTCATAGGACACATGTTCACAAAATGGCAGATTACCATGATCTGAGGGTGGAGTTTATAGCTCCTTGATGTCAAAAAGGTCACTTATTGAGCATTTGTGCAGGCCCAGTTGATGGGATGGTGGTCTCAACCAGCCTAAACTAGACAAGGGCTATCAGTTCCTGAAAAAACACTCTTAATTACTCTGTTGATAAGATGGGGTCAGTTGAACTGGTCCTGAAGGGCCCGCGGTTACAGATGCAGGAAGTCAACCGAAGAATTGAGAGGGAGGGGTAAAGGCAGAGAATGAAATAGAAGGTCTATGTCCTGCCTCCAGACAATACATGCCACTACAATATCTGGAAAAAATTGTTGGCCGATTCTTGAAAATCTCCAGATATACATAAAGCACTATATTTTTTCATAGGAATTTTCCTCATTCATGTGGTTAAGATATTTATTTTAACAATTAGTACTATATTTTTGATTTCAAATAATTCTTGCTTCAGAAGCTATGCTTAAGTAATCTTATATAGAAAGAGCGATTCAATTACTTTTCTTCAGATTTTATGAGTGTGTATGTATGGATATATACACAGGCAACATGTATACACTGTTATGTATATATTGACCCCCTGCTTCTCCAGCCTTATTCCCTTAGTGGATCTCTAGACTAGAATAATAGTATATTCAACTCCCTATATAATATCTTTACTTAAATGTAACAAAGGCATCTCAAATGTAATATGGCCAAAAGTACATAAATTCAAGAATAAATAAATTAAATAATTATCCCCTCATCCTTGCTCTTCTCCTAATCACCCTCACATAGTAAATGGCACCACTGTCCACTCAGTTGCTCAAACAAAAATCTAGATGTTTTCCCTAATTCTTTCCTGTTATCCTTCTCTCCTCTTCATCTGGTACATCATCAAGTACTAAAATTCTACATTGAAAAAGATATTCCTGAAAGCGTCCAATTTCAATCGAAGCCACTGTCATTGTTCCCATGGATTGCTACAATGGCATTAGAGCAAGTCCCCCTTTTTGTAGACTTGCTGCCTATATTCTGTTCACCCAGCAGCCAAAATCATATTTTTAAGGAAAAAAAAATCAGATCATGCCACTGCCTTGCTTAAAAGATCCCAATCATTTCCAAATCCACTTTTTATAACAACCAAGTTTCTCTTTGTCTTACAGAACCCTACAATCTAGTCCCTTCCTATCATTCTGACCCATGCCCTCAGACTCGCCACACTGCTCACTTCTTACCCACTACACTCTAGACCTGTGCTGTCCCATACAGTAGCCACTAGTCACATGTGGCCATTTCAACACCTGTTTAAATACAATAAACTTAAGTAAAATTAAAAACTCAGTTTCTCATTTATTCTGGTCATGTTCCAAGTGTCTAACAGCCATAAGTGGTTAGCGGCTACCATACTGGACTACTCAGAGATTTCTATGATCACAGGCAGTTCTATTGGATAAGGCCACCCTAAACAACCTAGTTTTCCCTTTGTTTCTTGAATATGCCAGGTTTATTCCAATGACAAAGTCTTTGTCCTTGCTTTTCCTTCTCCATTAGTTTCTCTATCCCAATCTGTCTGTATAGTTCCTTTTCATTTATATCTCAGTGTAAATTTCATTGCTATGAATTGAATGGTTGTATCCCCCCAACATTCAAGCCCTAATCCCCAATGTGGTGGTATTTGGAGGTGGGGCCTTTGGGAGGTAATTAGGTCATGAGAGTGAAGCTCTCATGAAGGGATTAGTGTCCTTATATAAAAAGGCATTGGAGAGCTGATCACTCTCTCCACCATATGAGGATACACCGAGAAGGCACCACCTACAAGGTAGGAAGAGGGTCCTTGCCAGACATCGAATCTGCCAGTATCTTGATCTTGGACTTTCCAACCTCCAGAACTGTGAGAAATAAATTTTTGTTGTGTAAGCCACCCAGTCTATGGAAATTCGTTATAGCAGCCAAAGCTACTAGGACAGCCATCTACCCAGGCCACTTAGTCTACAGTCACCACCCAGGCACTCCTTTTATACAACCCAGTTTAAATTTCTGCATAGATGGCTATCTCATATTTCTCTTGTCATTTTTTGTTCATTGTCTCATCAGAATTTAGGCTTGATGGCCCTGAGACCATGTCTGTCTGATGTTCACAGCTGTATGACTTATACCTAGACTAGCACCTGGCAAGTGATAGATACTCAATAAATGTGGGAGGAAGGGAGGCAAGGGGGGAAATAGGTTACTATTCACAGTATATCGATTCCAAAATATTAGTATTTAGAAGAAGACGTCTCACAGAAATGAAATGTAAGCATCTAATGTCAATGCAGTAATGAATTCAGTAAATTCATTTTGAAATAAATTTAAAGTCCAGTGCTCTTTTTCCAGCTCTGCTTCTATCTTGAACGTATCATTTTGCTTCTAAGAGCTTCCATCTTATTTATAAAAGAAAGAATTCAGACTGGAGTTAAAAGATTCCCTACAGTTCCAAATTCTGTGTTCTTATGAAGATATTGAACCCAGGAGAAATATGCAATTCTTTTACTCTATCTAGAAAATATCTGTTCATGCACGGTTTCTTAATCTGTGACTATACTGTGAATATTTTAACTGAATTTTAAATCATCATCATATCATATGGTCTTAAGCTGCCTAGACATTCATAAAAATTTTAAAAACAAATGTAATAACATAATATTAGAGAAAGTTTTGCTGTAAAGAAACTGAGCTAGTCACTAAATTGGAATTTAGGAACACATCTGCATGAGGTTATCAAATTAACCACAACCTAATTGATTGTTAAGCAATTGATCAGATCAAATTGAAACAATCAAGACCCTTACCTCATTCTGCTTGTAGGTATGTCAAGTTATATAGATACAGTCAAAGAGCCAAGTGAAAACAACTCTATCCTCATGGGAACTCCTATTGTAAGTTTCTAAATATGGAAACCACATCTTTGTTTGAGGGTTCATTGTTCAAAGAGAAGAGATTTGCATAGCTAGGTTTTTATGTTATCTGATCTTCTCTGGAGATGGTTCTACTTAAGAGAAATAGATTCTCCAAAGAACCTACTTAGAAGGACATCCATGTCACAAAACTCAAAAAGAGTCCTCTCTGGTGAGACTCCATGCAGTTCACTCACATGAAGATTTCCTGAAGCAGTCGTACGCCAGGGTTGTCACATTCATTTTTGTATCTTCCCGAGGATCTACAACATTACATTGAATATTAGATGAACTACAAATATTGAAATCAATATTTAAAAGAGAAATGAAGTAAAATAACTTTTTAGATGAAGTTATAGAACTTCGATTAAACTTCTGGCCATTCATAAAGCTTCTCTTAATTTTTCATAACCCTCTTAGGCACTCATGAAAGAGCCTCAGACTATTTTCAGAAAGAAATGTGGGCGGCCTCCTCCAGTGCAGTGTCTTCAAATGAAAACATAGTGAGGAAATAAGAATTATCTTCGTATCCAAACTGCTGAATAAGAACAAGCTCCACAAACAGGAAAAGGCCCACACTGCCAAAGATAGCTTGTTACTAGAGCGTTGTAATACTTGAGATTTACTGCTTATTAAAATGCAAAAGGCTATTACTTCCCCCAGAACAAATTTTGTGAACAGAGATGAACCCAGGAAGCTTTTAGCCCATTTCCTGAATCATAAACAAAGAGCTCCATACGCAGCAACTCTATGAGATGTAAGGGGAGTATATTATATGATACTTATTGGATTACTCAAAGCCTCAGCGAAGCTCCCTTCAGAAGTGATATAAATCAAAGCTAACTGCTTCCATAGAAAAGCAATCAAGTTTTTAAGAGAATATCTTTGTTTCTGAGGTTGCACAGTAAGATTTAGATGTTTCTATTAGGACCTTTGCTATGGAGCATACTTAGATAATTATAAAAATCCGGCCTGGAATAATACCTGGACAGACTCCTAAGGAAATTAAATGCTTTGGTTTCAAGCTTTGGATATTTTATAGAAGTATTTTCTCATCTACTTTCTGAAATCACAGACACACACACCC